CAGATATTCCCTCAGCTTCCTGTTCATATGAAGGGTGAAATTCATATCGCAGTACACAGTTTCCAAGTTCTTTTCATCATCGCATTCTAAATGCTCCTAGCTAGGTATATAGGTAATGTTCCTACGCCAATGCACAATTATTATGCGTCCAATGTACTGAATAAATGGTGAACCCATCAGAATAAAATTCAAAATGTCAGTTATATGAAGCCACAATCATTACCCTTTTGAGCTACGTCCTACAGTGCAATTCAGCTCAGAAGTTTGCGTTCTGGAATGGACGTACGATCGAATCCCACTCGAGTCAAATTCTTTATAATTGCTTCCTCTCTCACAGAATACTATTTTAGGTTATCTGATAAACTTCTTACACACATTATGTCTGCAGATAATACCACAAATTTCGCAATGTTGCCATGTTTGTAAATATTAACTAATTTGCAGTATTTATGATTTGTCTCTGTTCCAAATTTCACATAACTAGTTTCTTGGAAACACTGAATGCAAAGGAAAATGTTCGCACGGCCACCATGTTGTTATTTTATATTTCACGAAACCATCATCACAAAAAATATTCGCACTTTTCAAAACTATCAATTTACCTTGCCATGCATTATTTTAAGACAGTGTCGCTACCACCTCAGCAGTTTGCCATGTCATTACTGATTTTAAATTAATAAGTTAACGAGTTTCGGTATACCTCCCATGGCACGAAGTCCAAATCAGATTTCGCCAAAATGTTATTCCGCTGTTCTCGAGTTGTAACATGCAGGCATTATCAGTCCAATATGCGTTGACTGCGTGGACTTCGTTCAAAGAACTTACAACAAAAGCAAAATCACAATTTTCTGTGTTTTAGTCTTTACATTTTGAGACAGAAGACACGAAATGTTCTGAAATGAATGACTGTAAGAATTGTCAGAATTTAATTTGCTTTTAACTTATTTTGATTTCATTTATTTATTGTTGTTGAATACTACCGCATTTTCGAATTACCTGTTCTTATATCGTGGTTTTGTTTTGAACTCTAGTCATGAGACATCAATTCAGTGAGTACTCTTTCCTAACATGCAATTAAAAGTCTATTTGACTCCGAAAGGCCCCTTCCTATCATGATTCTAACCTAGAATGTGTGATTCTAACTCACCTGACAGTCGAGACACTGCTCCGCTAGGCCGACTGCACCCGGCCGCCGCTCCACCAATACTGATCAAGCCACGCAGCCACCTGCACGCCAGCGCCACCCCGCGTGCTGATGGAGAGTGACACGGTAGCAATTAGCAACAATTTTAATCCGAGGCACTTGTAACAATGAGTCACGTTGCTCTCTGAAATACCAGTTAGACTTCAGTTACACCTTTCGTCTCCTGCCTGCTTTTGTTTCATAATTGCTTCATATTTCTACATATCTGTTTCGAAACCAGGCGGAAACAAATTACAGCGTGACATGCCATCTTATTAAACTGTTCGCAGTTGCTCCATTCGATATCTCTAAGTTTCTACATCACCACCCTTGCACTATTGCCAACCTTCTCCGTGAAGTCGTAATTTCCTTTCTCAACGTCAGACAGGAGGGAAAGACATACAAAAACAAGGAAATTGTATCTAAAGACGGAATATTTGTTTTCTTACGCGGGATATACGCTAATGGGCACGCCTTCAGATTAGAATTAGATTTCGCCGTTTCAAGCAGGCACTTGGCTTTTGATTTCATAAATCCATATAACTTATTTCATTTTGGGAAGAAGCCAGATCCCTTGTTACCATACACCTAACCAATTAAAATTCTGACGTGTCTACGCGTTATGTCTAATAAACAGACGGACAGCGTTTAGTATCGTATTGGTCCGTGCCAAAAATGTAATTATTGCCCAAACCGAGCCACAAGTGTCCGGACTACACAGTAGTGAGATGAGAACTTGTTTTTGCTATGGTGGTCTAGCGGTTGGAACGCTGGCCTTGTAATCCTGGGGTCTCGGGTTCGATCTCCGGCGGTGCCCGAATTTATAACTTGTGTTGGGCAAGGCCGTGATCTAGGCAACACGGAGTTTTCCTCCGGGGGCTTCCCCGGTTTCTCCGTGGCATCCCAACAATTACTCCATTCACACACAGAAGAAGGCAATGGCAAACCACTTCTGGATAATCTGCCAAGAACGTATATGAACAGGTCCCAATCCGTGAAAAGGATGGAAGGATCCTGTTCATAAAGTGTCGCCAACCTCCTGTAAAGAGACGGCGTGATAAAGAAGGAGAAATAGGATAAAGCGCGGACAGGGTGTGATGTTGACCACTCACCCTCATCTAGTACCGAGGTTGAGAATGAGTAGGAGCTAAACCTCCACTCCCCTGATCGCCGACATGAGGCGTAACAGGATAGCTTTACCTTTTTTATATCAAATGTCGCAGTTGTAATTGATGCTGCTTAAGTCCTTTACGCACAAGCGACTTGAGGTGGGTATATATTTTTGGTCCTTCATAATTGTCCTAATTCAACCAAATTTTCGTTCTTGAAATCTGAACGTGTTCTTGAATCAATCGCATTGAATGTAGACAACATCAGACAGCATAAATCATGTACTGAATCGCCTCATTTTCCTGCTTCGTATTCAGGAGGTTCCTGGTTTAAATCACGGCTCGTAGACCGGCTATTCTGACTTCGACCTCAGCCCCTACAGGTAAACGCCGAGCTACGTTAGAAATTAAACCACGACAGATTTCTTCGATATCCTTTCCTGTTCGTTACTAAATGTTCATCCTTCAATTCAAAACTTTTCACACCATAAGCTACTGACAGCGACGTTAAATTATAAAACAACCAATTTTATCAGATTTAATGATAATATTACACTAACATTTGGGCATACGTATTCCACGTACATCAGTACAAAAGAAAATATTCCCGTTTCTGAAAAAAGAAATTGTTAAATGACGTATTTATCGTCTTGCCATCATAAACAATTATACAGAAGAAAGCGTCTATCGGCCCCACAAATATTTTGACTAAACTTATTTAATCTTGTAACGTTGCATCCGCGGGGAAAAACTTCTTTAAAAATAGTAAATTCTCCCAAGCCTTGCAGGACTCATCGATTCTCACGTTACACGTACGCAAAATGTCGAAGATTTGAGAGGTGACAGGCAACAGAATTATAATTCCACTGAGTTTGGGGGGGGCCACTAATTCAAATTTTAATGGGGCCACTGCAGTTAACTGGACGGCCCTGACAACGGCTATCAGATAAGTGAAATAATGGTCCGTTATACGTACGGTACCTATTGATTATAGGTTCGTTTCAAATCTGTGAGCGGCGAGACCAACTGACCTTATAATCGATTGCATTCAAACTATTAGCAATGTGCTGTGCTGTGGACTCGTACCTACGCGTCCTGGGTCTACCATCGCCTGGATAACAACCAATGATGCACTTGGAAATATAGGATGACAGGCCGCTTGCTAAATGCGAGTAACAGTTGACGATCAGAAGCCGCAGGAGAGACGTTCGAGTCACGTGTCGGTGGGTGATCACGGAACTAAGACTTCATGCATAAAACCCTTGCATTAGCCGAAGTAAACTTAAATACAGTCGGAATATATTAGGAGTCAAAAAGAGAGAAGTTGGAAAACCTAAGGGTAGATGGAACGACAGTCAGGCCAATTGAAAATGGGCGTACAGAAATAGTGTGAACTGCTTTCGACCGATTCCCAACAGGGTTGTGTGATGGTGTCGTAAACAAGCTGAAATGTTTTCGGGTTCCATAAAACACAGGTAATGCCTTGACTAATTCAGCAGTTGGTCAGTTTCACGTTTCGGTCGATTTACCCCCCGGCAGAATACTCGGAGCCATTTTGGCTTCAAACAGAAATGTACTTACCCGTCCAGGGCATCGACTTCAAACCATGCAGTTAGTTTCCACTCACTTTATCGAGTCAATGATTATACAGACGCCCATAATTCTGTCCCCTGGCTGATTTCGGAATTTCCAAGGACAATAAGAATGGGTTGACTGGAGGTCAGTGCCCTGCCTCCGAACCTTCTGTATGAGAAAAAAATTATACATGGCCAAGTAAGTGAACACTGGAATCGCGACTTCTAATAACGGGCGCACTTTTCAGTCGCGGGTTAACCTAAAATAATCGTCAACATTGCCAGATTCTGTCACTACCCCTCCTCACGCAAAAGTTGATGGTGTCGGTGGAATTACAAATGTCTGAAAGCAAAGTGCTCCTGAAAGGGTGTCTCGTTAAACTGGACTAAGCAGGCCCAAGTTGCGCTGTTCCGGATATTGTGTTTCATAACCTATACAGTGAAATAAAGGCAGACACGTAACATCGATCCCTGCAAATTCTGATGAGCAATCCTAATAGAAAACTGTCACTTGGTAAACCGAGAAGGAGATGGGAGGATAACTTGTGGGAATGGAGGTTGATAGACACGGCTGAGAAGGATCTTTATAATGAAATTCCATCGTTTTTAAAATGGCTTCTTACCGAACGTCGAGGCCGAGCAGTTACAATTCTTGCTTCGTATTCGGCTTCAAATCTTAGCCCGGAGATCGGCTATCCTCACGCTAGATTTTCGTGTTATGCCCGAGTCCCTCCAAGCAACTGTCAAATTAAATTCTGTACTTTTCCAATTCATTAAACTTATCGTTAAACAAATCATAAAACACACCACTGCCATCTGTGGATTACAGCCATTACTTTCAGCCATCAACCACGCCAGCGCCGCACGACGCAACAAACTTCAACTTTTAGTGCAGACCAACTAGTGTAACGAAATCTTTCACATCTACCAACGCAGATACTGTTAGTTATTTTCAGCAGAATTTTAAATATAACCATGTTGGCTAATGTAGCCGCACTGTGGGTTCACCAAGGCCAGACCGAAAGTCTTAATGATCATCTATGCACAATTTTGTATTATTATGAAACCAGAAGCATCTGGTAAAGGCCAGAGACAGATAAAGAAGGTAACTAAGTAAACTGCAAAATTATATTTTCTGACACTTCTTTTCTAGTACTTAGAAGTTACATTGTGGAGGCACAATGGACTGACATGTAGCAAGATCTTGACTGGGAAGTCTCCTGGAAAGTAACGACTGTACTTGAGACACCAAGATGAATATGAATCTAAAGAAAAATCTTGCAAATGTTTTAAACCTCAAAATAAAGTTTAGCTTTTGTAACTACAGCAACGAAAATTTTGGTTCTGTGACATGTAATTTCTTATTAGACTGAATACGTACCAGTTGCTAAAAACGTGGACACACAACTGTTGGCCAAGGTACGACATAAAATGGTTAAACAAGACATCAGAAAATCCTTAGTTCCAAAGTCATGAAGAGAATGACGTTATTAAACCGGGTGCACTTACGATTTCGGAATTTCTGTATAAGCAACATACTAAGAGGAGGAGGCATTTGGTTCATCCATTTCTTCCGAACAGGGACAATTAAACTACGTTAGAGAACTTAATTCAAATGACATCTGACCTGGAGAAGTTCTATAATTACATGCAAATGACATCAAAAATGTTTGATCTGCTTTAACCTGTACAGGATTGAATGACACAAAAGTATACCACTCACCACTCAGTAAGATAACTAAGTCCTTAACAGACACCAAAGAATTAATAATGCAAAATAAATATGGCTGCACGTGTAATCTTAACAGACACCAAAGAATTAATAACGCAAAATAAATATGGCTGCACGTGTAATTAAATACATAATTTCTTTTCCACCCTCTGTACGTTGCTATGAACATGTTAATAAAAATCTATTTAAATATTTATTTATGTACAATGTTGTATATGTCCTTCAGAAAGGATATGGCATCAGCCAAATACTGTTTTCATTTATTCTTGGATCCTGA